ATTTTTATGAATTTAACTGTTTCATTATTTGTGAAAAATTAGGATGCTTAATTATTCAATAACACATCTTACCTATTGTTTTATATGTTGAAATTAGAAGTTCTACAATAACTGCATATATAAACAGGCAATCAGATACATGTTTTTAATTCTATGGCTCCTACACAATTATATGTATGGGGTATTCAGTCAAATATGCTGCATTTGGGTAAAGTAATTCACATACTCCTAAAAATTTTAACAAAAATGAGAATTATTTTTTTGAGAATTCAACTTAACTAGAACCATATAAATGAAAAAAACTAAAAAGACATAGTTCAGAAACACAAGAGGGGCAAGAAAAAGAAAATTAGAATGGCCAGTCAATTAGACTTTCTAAGACAGTTTCTCAAACCTCCCAAGAAGACAAATATTTGAACACTACTACATCACTTCTCTCTTGTCAAGTTTCAGAAACAAAAATCATGCTTATTCTGGTAACTCCTCAAATGACTCTCCTTTGATGCTTAAAAATCAAACAAAAGAAACAATTTGATGAAAAAGGCAAAAACATGGGCTCTTACTTACTACATTAAGATTTAACAAGCCGCTTGAAAGATAATAGTTCATCATAATAGAACAATAAATTCAGCAAGGCTAATTTAACTTACCATTAAAAACGTATCTGAAATTAACCACTACCTGCTGCTTCAAGGTAGTATTTAATTTGTAAAAGAAGCATAATGACTGTCCCTTTCAATTATTAGGTAAGAATCTCTCCAGATTAAGATATGTTGAACATAAGTATACATATTCAAAAGGAAAAAGACAAGCCAAATACATAAAATGAAAGCCATAGTTTCAAAAATATTACCACTCTCAAAATGTCTATCTAAGAGGTGAACAAACTTAGCTTATTGCTATCTTGAAACATTATTTAATCAAATTAGAAAAAAGTGTATGTTCTGTCTCCTCTTCATTGTAAAAAAAAAAATTCTCTGATTTGCATGATTCTCCATCCTCAGGGAGGCAGAACAGCCTCCTGGGTATGCTGAGGTGGTACCAAGGCCACGAACTCCGAGTGTATGAACAGACAATAGGTTATTTTTCTAACAACTGGCAGAAAGAATGTCTTCTTAGCAATACTTTTAAAAGTAAAAAGTTATTTGGGAAGAAATTTCAAAAATTCATTTTGTACTCAAGAATACCTTTTGGCAAGTTAAATACCAACCGGGGAGTACAATTCATTCTGAAATTCTCAATGGAAATTGCCTTACTCACAAATAGATGTCCTGTGGGATCATTATTTAAATTTTCGTAGGGCTACATTAGTATGGCTAAACTTGCTTTTAAAGGTTTCTGGACAAAATTATCTTGATCATGATAAACCTTAGAATTCTGGGTGCTTGGCTGGTCAACTGCTTTCCTGGTAGGATAACCCCATAATATATAAAATATTCCCTGTTCTGCCTCCAGGTATTCCCTTAGTACCTGGTGGAGGGCTGGCAACCAATTCAGATGAAAAATCTCCATATGCCACCTCCATTTCCATAAATAAGTACTGGCATCTGCCATCTACAAACATAATCTTCATGTGAAGCACTGGCCAAAAAAACACAACCTTCCACAGCCGAGGCCTATCTAATTTTGAGCTACCATTTCACAAAACTATATGCTATGATAGACTTTTTCTTATCCTTATTATCAGTTCTAAACCCTGGCTACACATTAGTATCAGTGTGCAGCAATTCTCAATCCTAAATGTGCATTAGTATCTCCTGAGAACTCCTTCCTGAGTTCACCCCAAATCAACTAAAAAAAAAATGTGGGCCCAGAACTTGCTTCTTTTCCAATACTCCCCACTGCGGTTCTTATCTGCACACGGAGTTGAGAAGCACTCACAGAAATAAAAAGACACTGGCAGCCAGGGAGAACCCTAATAAGATTCAAATCATTGTATGAAATGAAATGGCTATGCATAAAATGACTTTAGCTTAAATTATATTTGGTTCCTGCTTTAAGTCATGACATTAAATTGGCCTACACTCACAACATGATTTCTAAAACACTGTCAAATGTCCTCATTTTATCAGGTGTCATGCTTAATAATTGTTGTAGGATGCAGACTTTGGAGTCAGGTAAGCTGAGTTCAAATCCTGACTCTTGCACTTACACAATGGTTTTAACCTCTCCAATTCTCATTTTCCTTATCTAAACACTAAAGGCCCGGTGCATGAAATTCATGCACTCGGAGGGGGAGGGGGTCCCTCAGCCGGCCTGCGCCCTCTCACAGTTTGGGAGCCCTCGGGGAATGTCCAACTGCCTCGGAGGCAGGAGAGGCTTCTGCCACCACCACTGAGCTCGCCAGCCGTGAGCCGGACTTCTGGCTGAGTGGCGCTCCCTTTTGGGAGCACACTGACCACGAGGGGGCAGCTCCTACGTTGAGTGGGATCGGGCTGAAACCTGCGGGGTTCCAGATTGCAAGAGGGCGCAGGCCAGGCTGAGGGACCCCACTGGTGCACGAATGGGGCCGGGGAGGGATGTGGGAGGTTGGCCAGCTGGGAAGGGACCATGGGAAGGCTCCAAGGCGTGTCCGGCCTGGCCGGATCCCAGCAGCAAGCTAACCTACCGGTCGGAGTGTCTGCCCCTGGTGGTCAGTGCACATTATAGCGAGTGGTTGAGCGGCCTTAGCATATCATTAGCATATTATGCTTTGATTGGTTGAATGGATGACCGGATGCTTAGCATATTAGGCTTTTATTATATAGGATGGAATGTTACTACCAGCCTTAAAGAGGATTAAATGGGGTTCGGTTTCAATGGTAAGCAGTAATGATAATCGGTAACCCAATACAATGATAGAGAACTGGAACTAGCAATGACAATAGAGAGTTTTTATTTCATCTTGCTCAATTTACAAACAAGGGGTGGAGATCCAGAGAAGCAATACCTCCAGATGACAGTTAAAAGCTGGGTGGAGTGAAACTTCCTCAGTAGGAAAAACTGATTAAATAAGCCTGTTAGTTGCTCAGGTGAAAACTATTATTTGATATATTTGTTGACGAAAATCCCCAAAATTACTAAACTTGCAATTTCTTTATTAATTTTCACTTGCTAGAATATTAATAAGAAGTTTTATTATCTTCCATTGCTTTGAATGACTTTTTTTAAAAATATATTTTATTGATTTTTTACAGAGAGGAAGGGAGAGAGATAGAGAGTTAGAAACATCAATGAGAGAGAAACATCGATCAGCTGCCTCCTGCACATCTCCCGCTGGGGGTGTGCCTGCAACCCAGGTACATGCCCTTAACCAGAATCGAACCTGGGACCTTTAAGTCCGCAGGCCGCCGCTCTATCCACTGAGCCAAACCGGTTTCGGCTTGAATGACTTTTGACACAGCAATCAGACATATACCTTTACTGGAATATATTCTAAGGACAAAAAAAAAAAATCTGCAAAGAAATGCCGACCTTTACTTTGTAAGCTTGTTATTGGCTGTTGTGGTTTTTCTGAAAGGATTTTGTATGTATTATAAGACAGAAAATGAGTAAGTATATTGATGCTGTGGGGAACCAAGAAACTCATGATATATATATAATTCTTTATCAGAACTGATGATACATAGAATGTTGGTTTCTAAATTCCGTCATTAGTAATAGGAACCAGTACTGATTACAGGCTGAGAGCAGGGAGGGTATAGGCTGAGTCTGTTAACTCAAGTGCCAGAAAACAAAGACTAATGAAATCATGTTTAATTACCTTCAATATCAAAATAATCTGCCATTATCTGACTCCAGATATGACACAATTAAAACGAAAAGCACAAAACATCACAAAGGTAGTGCTTTTCCCAAAAATGTTAACCTGAATCTAATGATGAAAAAATAATAATAAAGCAAGTTCTGAATAAAAAACATTCTATAAAATTAGTTCAAACTCTTCAAAAATTTCATCATCATAAAAAAAAAGAGATAGAGGCGGGCATTATAAAGTAAAGGAGACTAAGTAGTCATAACATCCAATGCACTACATGGCGTGACCCTGACTGTAATCTGGATGAGAGGGAATCTAGCTTTTCTAGACATGTTGGGATAATTAGAGAACTCTGAATGTTGACTAGCACATATTATTGAATAAATATTAAATTTCCTAGGTGTGATAAAGGAATTGAAGTGTAAGAAAATACTTGTTTCTTAGAATATATATGGTAAAGTGTTTTAAAAAATATTTTAATAACATTTAATTTTAAATCCTTATTCTTATAAATCTTTTTAAAACCAAGCTTTGCATTCTGAAATAATTTTTTACAGAAAAGTTGCAAAGATGGTATTGAAAATTCTGATATACCTGTGACAATTCCCCTGTAATTAACAGCATACACCATGGTACATTTGCTTTTTGTTTTGGTTTTTACACATATATTTATTATTTCCATTTTTTTGTTGTTGTTGTTAATCCTCACCCGAGGACATTTTTCCATTGTTTTTTTGAGAGAGTGGAAGAGACAGGGAGAGACATATCGACGTGAGACAGACACATCAATTAGTTGCCTCCCACACAAGCCCCAACCAGTTCTGGGGATCAAGCTTGCAACTTATATATGTGCCCTTGATGGAATCTGATCTGTGACCCTTCAGTTTGCAGGCCCAAGCTCTAACCACTAAGCAACCTGGTTAGGGTGAGATAAAAGAGAAAAATACATGTAAGAGTTCCTTAATTAGTCTAACCGTAATAAACATAAAGAGCAGATTACTTCAAACACAAAGATGATGCCTTTAACCCATGGACAGAAATGTTTGAATGAGAATTACCTTTTACCAAGAAGTACAAGTCGGCCTGTAGAGGAATTGTGTGAGAAGAATGACTCCTTACACACCCAAAGCCCATCACAACACTATGTTATCAACAATTACGTTTAATACATTAGAGCTGCAAGCTGGGCTCCTGGAGAACGACTCTGAATGAAAAGAAGTTAAAATTGTATGACCTTGGACACACAGAGCTGGTCGCAACTCACCCTTCCCAGTTCTTTGTCTTCAAGGGCCAGGACGCCAGTGCTTTCTGTGAAGAGCTTCACTTTGACCACGGGCCTGGGATGGGTGGTGGTGAAATCTCCTTGAGTTCCCCATCTGCAAAGAAGAAAAACAATTCCCTTTGAAATGCAGCATTATTTTTCCCCCAGATAAATGTGCCTCCTCAGAAGACATATTAAGTGATACAAATCTTTGGTGGCTCAATGAGATTTTTATCTTTGCTTCTGTGTCTGACAGATGGCTCAATCAAGAAGGAAAATAACAATAAGCTTCACAGCTTGTAATAATTATTCAGCCATTCCGAAAATTAGTACACTACAATACAAAACTGGTGTGTGATAAGAATTTAGCTTAAGGTAAAGCAGAGCAGATGCAGCTATTAAAATCTATTCTTTGGTTAATTCAAATATAAATACAACACAATTATTTATGTAGTAGAGGCCCGGTGCGCGAAATTCGTGCATTTGGGAGGGGGTCCCCCAGACTGGCCTGTGCCCTTTCACAGTGCGGGAGCCCCACAATCAATTGTCCCAAAGATGTAGGCCCTGCCCACCCACCCAGGACTCCTCGATGGACTGCCCAAAGAGGTAGGCCAGAGCCGGGGGTCCCACCTCTGCACTGCACAGAGCCGCGGGACCCCTGGCCTCACCACCCAGAGCCGCGGGACCCGCCTCTGTGCTGTGAGGAGCCGTGGGACCCACCTCCACACCACACGCAGCATCAAGCCCTTGCCCACCCATGCGCACCTCACCGCGCATGCAGCCTCCTGGTGATCGCTCGTTACAGCATGAGGGTGTCACGAACACATAGGCTGTTATTCTATAGGATGGCCGGGGGAAAATACTAAGGGTTTGTTCAGGTAAGAGGCTGTTTCCCAGAAAAGTGTTTTTGCATACTGAGGATTTTACCCCATCTCTTCTTGAAAAGTATTTACTAGATATTTTATTTATATTTTAAAAAGTGAAGTTAATTATCTCAAGCCTATTACTTTACCTGATATTTTTAAAGCTCTGGTCAAAGAGAAAGAAATAAGCATCACAAAAATGAGTGTTTTTCTGTGAATTTCCCAGTACAGTTTCCTAAGATTGGGATACCAGTAAGTCTGCCAACAGCTAGCTTTTCAAATCATCATCATAAAAAAAACATGTTTTCTTGGCTTATCTTTTAATTAATGGCATTTCATCTTTACCACACACCAATTCATTCTAGCATATTTACCCATTTAACTGGCACATAGCTGATATTAAAAAATCTTATCAATAACTCTCAGAGATCACAGACAGGCATGAAATTCGGTACAGCATGAAGAAAATGCCATTGAGAAAAAATATACATAAGAGAAAGAAAAAGTGAGATTTAATGAAGTAAAACTTTCTGTTAAAATAAGACACCTAATAAAAGTATCAATTGTGTTGTTTATATGGTTTAAAAAAACAAACAATTTAGCATTTTTATGGAACTATCTAAATTTATTTTATAAACCTTATTCAGAAAGCAAGAGAAACTCAGAAAACTGAGAAATATAATAAAACTTTAACAAATAATTGCGATGACTTCCTCTCCAATGCAGTTATATCACAATATGTGTACAGTAAACCTGAGGCCATTTCAACGACTGAAGAAACTAGCATCCAGATACAGTTTGATGTTTTTAAACTAGCATCAGATGCCAGAGGAAAGAGAGAGATTCAATTAGGATGGGAAAGCAGCTTAATTTCTACTTTAGACTTCTAGAAAGGAGTTAGCAAAGATTCTTTTGCCGTTTCATAGAATTAAGATGGTCTGAGAAAAGTAGAGCTGAATAGGAGTAAAAATAAATTTCTCCATTAGTGTGTAGAATCTGAAGCCTTGAATATAGCCAGGCAATCTGGATGAGACTCGAGTAGATCCCAATGACCTATCCTTCTTGCTTTGGTATCACGTGGTGAAAATATATATATATCCAAAATTGTGTGTGTGTGTGTGTGCACGTGTGCATCTTCCCGTGAGTACTTGAGGGGGGAAATGTATTCTCCATTGTGAGTACAATGTTGTATGTATGGCCGGCCATAAGATCAGGCTTGTTAACTCTGCTGTTTATATCTCTACTTTATTCTTACTGATTTTTGGTATCCTTTATAAAGCAAGGTAGAACTATTACAATCTTCCATCAAGAGAGATGTTAATTTCCCTTTATATTTTTTCAACTTTTGTTGTCTATTTGGTGATGTAAAAATGTTCAATAGCAACCATATTCTTTGCATATGAACTGTTTCCCTTTTCCAATCCCAGGGCTATCATTATTTTTCAATAATTGAACCTGTGTAAAATTAAAGAACTAACACTATGCTAGGAAGGGTGAAATTAGAGTCATATGTCAGAGTTACAGACCAGCTTAGAGAAGTCACACAAATAACCTAATCAACACATTGCAAATATGGACAGTAATTAATTAGAAAACAAAGAGTTGGCTAAAATTTGCAGGAAGTCATCAGTAATGTCGAACCTGGAAGGGAATCCAGGATATCCATTCCCCAAACCAATATGCCAATGAAAGCAGGAAACAGGTGCGTATCACAGGACCCAGTAGGTACTCTCTAACAGTCTTACCTACAAGGTCTGGAACCAATGAGTCAAGAGCATGCAATACTAATGGCCAGCTCCTGTGGGGAAGGCCTCAAGCACGTGCTTTCAGATGAGGAGGCGTTAGGTACAAGGTACTGGCAGATCCTAGGTGAACAGACTAAGCTTTTACTGACATTTGACAAAAATGTGCAGTTTTAAAGGGGCACATAAATATAAATATAGTGGCAATTAATAGTCTTTGTAAACATTCCAGGCTACAAACTTAAACTGACACCACATTGACAGTTTCTCCTATGAAAAATAAAAGTTAAAATGTATAGCTATAAAATGCTTGTGAATTCTATAATGAATGAGTTAAAAAGCCAAAGCCCTTCTCCCCCCAACCCCCCAAAAAAGGTAAGAAGATAACATGTCTATCTTCAGTATCCGCCACCATCTTTCCTTGTTTTCTACTTAATTGACATGTTTAAACACTTTTAGGAATTCATAGCAGCAATTATCTTCCTACTCTTTTCTCTGTATTATGTGATAAAAGAATACATTACCCTTGCTGTCAATTTTCTTTGACTCAAAATACAGTGCCTTTCTCTAGTTCTATTTATGTATTATTTATGAGGGTTCAGACTTCCACTCTAAATCTTCAGATGAATAAAATATCTACAAAGTACCTTGATGAGGACAGCAGGACTTCCTGGCTATGACAACATAGGGTAGTTCATATGCCAACTGAAACAACTGATGCTAATTATGTGTTGGATTACATAAAGTATACTGGACATTTGTGTCAGGAGCCAAAATGTATGTGCATGTCTACTGATCCAGTAAGATCATATCTAGGAATTTGTCCTAACAAAATAATCCTGAGTATTGAAAAGACTGTAAGGTAAGCAGGAACATATTCACTGTAGCATTGTGTATAACAGCAAAAGCAAGCAACTAATAGTAAGGGAATGATTATGTAAATTATGTGGCATACAATGGAATATTTTGCTGCTACTTATAATGATGGCTATAAAGGTGATGTGAAACCATATGTGATGTAACATGAAAAAAATAAAATAAAGAGGGCACAAAGCTGCATGTGGGCCTTTTATTCTTTCAAAAAAAGCTATTAACCTCATTGTGAGCCAGTCATCACTATTCTAGAGCCAGCAACCACAGTCTCTATCGTCTTGGAACGTATATTCTAATACAAGATTAGAGATGATAGTTTCATTATTATACACAGTAACATATACCTCCCACCCTGGCCTTGCATTCTATTTTGTTCCTATTAGCAGTTTATTTTCTCTCATCATTGCTCCTTCCCCCACATCTCACATCATAAATAGGCTTCGTTTCCCTCATTCTTAACAGCTGGATACTTCCCAGGTCTCTCAGAATATCTAGAGAACTAGGTTTAAATTGCAACCTGAAAGTATTTTCAAAAATTCCTAGCATATTTGTTTGAAAATATGTTGAAAATCATGCACAGTAAAAAAAGTTATGTCAAAAAACATTCAAATCCCTTCTCAAAATTCTTCTTGTGAACATATAATGTATCCATGACTACAGAAGCGAAAACAGAAAAAAAAAAACCATGCTCAACCTACATTCCTTATCTGTGACCAGCTCTGGAAATTAAATAAGACATACATTATTTCATCCATCTCTATATCCTTTTATCCACCCAACTGTGTGACCAGCATTGGGAAAGGATGGGTATTTTAAAAAATCAAGATGACGGATCCTGCACTAAATGCGCCCAGACTGTGGGGAAGACAGTGATGTAAATCCATAAATATACATAATAAGTCGAAAACAGAATTGAAGATGGTTCTAAATTGTAGTTCTTAATTACTTCTGAGATGGGGAACTTTTTCTTTATTAGTCATCTGCATTTCTCTTATGACTTGCCTTTTTATTACCATTGTCGATTTATCTATTAGTAGACTTCCTTTTATTCGGTGATTTAACAGAACTAGTTATAAGGAGAAGACATTTACTGTTTCTGATACATCTGGTAAATACTGTCACACCTGGTTATTTTCTAGTTAACTCTTGTTTATGGCTTTTGAAAATGCATAGTTTAAAAATGTTAGGTAGCACAGTTCTATCAACTTGATTTATAGTGTCTGATTTTGACATCCTCAAGAGTCTCTCCTTAACCAAAAATTATATTAACGGGTATTTCTTACACATTCCCATAGTTTAGATCTTCAAGTTTTCTGAAAGTTAACACATTGTGGACAGATCACGAGAATTCTTGCTTCATAGTACACAGTGTTTTACAAAGTATCACACATTAAAAAGATATTAGCTTGTAAGAACATGTAATAAATAACTTCAAAATGCAATGAGTATTTAATTTTAAAGCGTGCCTTTAACATTTATGTAAAACGTTTTTTTGTACTCATTCAATAGAAACTTATCTGGCCACTGGGTAAAGCTAGCAATAAAACTACTGGTCCGCAATGTGTTAATAATGATATTAAATGGCAGTTTCATTTAATTCTTCATCTATACCAATCTCATGTGGTTTAGAAGTCAAA